ATTGTCTTATTTGCATCACAATCATTGGTTCATAAGATAAGTAATGTAAGCTGGTATAGGTAAAGATAAGGAGAACGATTAGAAAATAAATATTAATTCGTTGAACAATACATATGCTTTTGATAAATTGAAAATTATTTTGGAACATTGAAATCTTATATGCGGAAAAATTGGAAATGCGAAAGAAAGTCATTCCAAAATAAAACAGTGAATAGTGCTGTGTTTAGCCTTGCTACCCCGAGGCTCGCAGGGCTGCTGGTGGCCTGATGGATCAATTGTTGAGGTATGCCCTCTACTCAAGCTGTATGGAAGGACTTCCTCTTCACTCCATCCGAGAATAACACAGCAATCCATATTATTGTCCTCTGAAAATAAGTTTTTCACTTCCGCAAGCGCTTCTTCTTCATTTGTCCCATAGACGATGTCAGCTGTTGGAAAGTCTGCTCCAGCGTGTGGTATCGGTTGCTCTAACGGGTAGTAAGGATCGCGCCATGGTGGCGACCAATTATTGAATCTTCCCATGTGTACTCGTATCCCAAACCGAAGGTAGTGCCATGTTTCTTGAAGTTTTTTAGAGATCCCTTGGAAGTTCTTGCCGAGTCCTTTGCCAGGTCGTACCTTACTCCAATTCAATATGCTCTCGAATCTTGTTATCCCACCATTTTGTCCTTGTCGACAGCATTGACCCTGTCGATGTGGTGGTAGGTCTCTCCGCCTAGCTTCTTCTTCCTCCGATCGCCGGAATGGTCTGACGACTGTATATTAGGTTGCTACCGTCGCCGTGAATGATCACTTCCTAGTGATTTCCATTCGGAATTTCACTACCTGATGCAGTGTGAAGCTATAGCCCCAGCAGCATGAATCCAGGGTTGTCCTAGCAGCAAGTTGTAGGATGCTGGCACATCTATCACTTGAAAATCGACCTCGTAACCAGGTTGGTCCCATTTGCACACACAGGCTAATCTCGCCGATGGTGGACCTCTAGGACCCATCAAAAGCTTTCACTTTGATTGCTCCTTCTTTTTATCTCATGCATCCCTTTTCCCAACTTCTTGAGTGTTATACAACGGACAATGTTAAGGCTGGAACCCCCATCGATCAGGATCCTAGTGATGAAGTAGTCTTCGCATTGCACAGTTGATGTGCAGGGCTTTGTTGTGGACCCAACCCTTCAGGTGGCAGCTCGTCCTCATAGAAGGTGTTTTATGGCTTTCTAATACTTGTCCACCATATTAGCCATTTCCCCGCCAGTGATGTTACTTGGCACGTATGCTTCACTCAGCACCTTCAACAGAGCATTTTGTGTGTCTTGGAATTCTACAACAAATGATAGGATGGATATCTGTGCTGGTGTTTTGTTTAGCTGGTCGATGACCGAATACTCCTTGGCCTGTATTTTCCTCCAAAGGTCGTCTAGACCTATCTTAATGATAGGTGTCCGGTTGAGGCCTGCTTGCTTGACTCAGCTAGGTTTCAGGGGTATAGACTCTCCCAGTTCTTTGTCATGCCCTGTGTATAACAGTCTCTTCGAACCTGACCTTGCCTTTCCTCCTAGCCTCGCTGTATAATCGTGTAGGGTATAGCTTTTGTATGGAATGACGGCATGGGGACATCGCCATTGGGATCGGTGTGGCCACCTTTACTTCGAATGGGACACTGCTCTTTGGGTGGCAAAACTACAACCTCAAATGGTGTTGGTGCTTTGCTAATGGCGCTGCTTCAAACCCAAAAGGCATATCTCCTCTCTCCCTTATGCGTCCAAGTTCAGAGGGAGCTCAAGGGTCCCAAGGCAAGGCTCACACAAGAGGGGCAGAGCCTAGGTTCTAAGAATATAGTGGAAGTGCAGGACAGAGATTGATTAAAACTGAGTTGGAAATAGTAAGTATTAAAGGGTGATTTGAAAACAGTAGTAGAAGAGCTCAAAATACCCCAGGATCAGTAGTTACACAAAGGGGGTCACGGGGTTTTGGGAATACATTGATGACGCATATGACCCCAGAAAGGGGCGGGTTTGGTCATGCACAGCAATAGATGATGCTGGCCTGACCCACAAACTAACCAAAGGAACACAAACACATAGAGGGGATATGGGGTTTGGGATTCATAAGTCAGCAAATCACATAACAAGAGACTGACAGAGTACATACATAGGGAAACATTAATCTAAAAGGGGAAGGAGCATATTCCAGTATGCTAGTAATTGAAATAGACTGCAGAAACATTGGCAGAAGTGAGCATGAATGAGAAACTGAAGCAACTTAAAGAAACATATTGTTGTTGAGACTTAAAGAGTAAACTAGGACATAGCAGTAGAGAAGCAAAGGGCAGAAAGGTAAAGCAAACAAGAGTCCACAGTCTAGCCTTGGCTTTCAGCCGGCTAGACAAAGCAATAGCACAAGTAGCAGTAAAGAAAGAGAGTTTTAAGTGTAAGTGTGTGTTTTGAACTCAAGTTGTTCGTGTCTTTTGAAAGAAGATGGGGTGGGTATTTATATCTTTTGAAAACGAGTGATAAGTAAGGTAATAATTGAAGTCTTAACACAAACATGAAAAAAAATTGCAAATCCTAGAATGCCTGCTGTTCGTGATTATTTTAAAATCTGCAGCCGCACAAGAAATTGTGCGGTCCGTAGAAGTTTCTTCTGGGTAAGTTTAGTTAATTATGATTGTGCGGATCACAATGAAAAATGTGCGGACCGCATAAACCCCTTTGCGGCCGCAAAACAACTCTCTTTCTGTTATCAGAGAGTTTTCAATTTGATNAGGAATCACTGCTGAACGGACACTAACAGGTTTCAATTAAGGAAAAAAAATCAGTTTGGGACAGATTGATTATTGCCATATAAGGGGCAATAAAAGTATGAAGTAAATAATCAAGTCTATGTAAAAAATAGGCTTATTTTGGGAAGGGATTCAGCAAGGTAAAACATCATAGTAAAGGAAAGGAATCAATTAATTTTAAACAGATGAGTAAAAATTAGGGCTCGTAAGAAAACCTTATACAATTAGCTGGAAGATTGAGGAAATCAAGATCAATCAAGAAAGGAACATGATTCTGCAATTCGCCATATAAATAGCAAGGGATGAACAAGCATGCAGACTTAAACATGTTGACAAAAGAAACAACACAAACATACAGTAGCAGTAAGGGTAAGCTAGGGTTCAGTAGCAAGAAAATATTCGAGGCACAGTAGTCAAGTAAATCAAGTAGTCGCGTAGAATCGACAGTGAAGAAGAACATAGTAACAAGTAAAGAGAAATCGTAAACAAGTAAAGGTCTCACTGTAACAAATGAGGCAAAATATCTAAGAAATTGGTGCTTCAACAGTAGTCGAGATTAAGAACTCAAATCAGAAAGGTCAAACAAGGGGAAGAGAGTCAGAAACAAAGAAGTTAATCGAACAAGTACACATTTAAACAAACAATTTCAGAACTCGGATAAGACTAAAAGGAACTAGGGTTTTTAACATGCTGAATTAGATAGAAGAACAATATGGGCAAATCGTTTTAAACATAGCAAAATCACGAACAATATTGAGATCAGAGAAGAGAGCTTTTGAAAAACTTAAAGGAAAACCCTAATCGAAAAAAAATGAAGAGTCGTTTTGAAAGCAAAGTTGAAGAACCTTCGAAAAAACACTTAAGAAATTCATAGTAAGTACAGATCTAAAAGAGATCTAAAAGAAAATTGAAAGGTCTTAGAGCTAGGGTTTCAGAAAACCCAAAAGAAGTGAGAAAGACTTTGACAGTTAACGATCTAACCAGAAGAAATCAAGGATCAGCCTTGAAAGGCCATAAATGGCCAGAGAAAGGTCATGGATGGCTGGAGAAAGGCCATGGACAATAGTCGAGCAAGGACTGGACCAGATTCCTTCGAGGACTGGCCATGAAACCATAGAAACAAACACCCAGGAGCCATAGGAGGCTGATACACGTCTCAAATGACCACGAGGGTCCATAGATTGGGTAGGTATTAGGATGGATTACGATGGGATTAGAGGGCGGCTGCTAGGGTTCAGGTGAGGTTTCAGAGAGAATTAACAGAAAGGGGAATTCAAGGGCAGCGTTTGTGAAGAATGAGGTAGGGTAAGGGATCGTTTAAGGTTAAAAATGGAAAGGGCAAATATTGGCCGTTGATCTGAATGATCAACGGCCTAGATTAATGAGGGTAGGTAGGGAATCCAGGTTGGGTCATTTAATTGGGTTAAGGGTATGGTTTGAATGGGAATTGGGCCGGGGAAATTGGGTTTAATTTGGGATCAGATTAGGCTAAAATTGAAATGTAACTGGGCTACTATTTAAATAGCTGATTTTCCCTTTTAAAATTATAAAAAAAAATAAATTAATTTCTGGAAATAAATTGAAAGCACTAAAATGATTTTATGATATATAATTGACACTTTAAAAATATAGGACTTGATTTGATGAATATAAACATAATTAAATCTTAAAAGGGATAATATTGCAATTATGTGCAATTAGCTTTTAAAAATACTAAACAAAATTGTAAAAAACATGTGAAATTACCTTAGCTATATCTTGGAATAAAGATAAAAATCCAATAGATGAATTACCAAAAATAATAATTTTGGAAATAATTATTGGATTTTTATGGATAAAAAAGGGAAATAAATTGATTTAAAAACCTTTAAAAATTAGGGAAAAATAATAAAACACTTGAATATGCTTACATATGCATCTACATGCCATTTTGAAGTTATTTTGCATACTGAAAATATATAGGAAAAAATTGGGTATCAACACATGTATTTAAGATTATCCAAGTTGCGACTAAGTTGTCAAAGCTAGAACTTGTGAGTTATATATTGAAAGGCTTGTTAGTAATGTTGTTGGTTGGTGGACTGTTTTGGGAGGCTTAATATGATTATTATTGATGTTGTCTAGGCTGTATCATGATTTTTTTAACTTGTGGGAAGTCATATAAATGGGGGAGATGCTGTCCGTTTTATTGTAAAATAGGTTGCAGTCGATGTATAATAGTTATGACGCTTAAACGATAGCGATAGTATAATTTCTCTTGTTGTAGACTAAGGAGTCGTAACATTTGCATAGCTTGAGGTTGGGCAGTATACACAAGGTATGTGAGGCTATCACTTTCCTTTTTTTGCACGACTCCTGTCATGACCCAAACCGGTGGGGCGCGCCGGGCACCCGGTGCCTTGCCCAACCAAGTACCAACGTAATGTATTTTTTTTCTTGTCATACCATCATAGGTGAATGGGCTAGAAGGGCCACCATGAGATTAACCAGAATAAAACATAAGGGCATACTCGACATAGGACAACCCAACATGTAATACAAACTTATACATGATCGGTCTTACACTGAACTTAGGCCGACAAGGCCATACAATCTTTCATATACATGGCATCTGTCTACAAGCCTCTAAGAGTACATAAATGTCATAAAGGCCGGGACAGGGCCCCACCATACCAATAATTACATGTCCAAAGCATACTGACCAAATAAGTAACTTCGGAGAAAGTGGAGTGTACCGATACTTT